CTATGTTATGATTTTTTTTTAGTTTCAGAGGGCCCATGATTTTTATCTCAGCTGGTGTAAATGCCATAAAAATATTAAACAAGCAGACAGCTGTGTCCTCTCCTCTCCAGTAGCGACAGCTGTTCTCCCGACAAGCTTATTCTTAGGTGCGATAAAAATGATAATCATGGCTATTATTATTTGCAGTTATAAGCACTGTTAATCCCCAATCTATGAACTCGGGAACGTGGGGTTTTCTCTTCCAAAGGGTATTACTTACACAGGGCACTTCTGTCCATTATTGAGGGAAGCTGCTGAGCTCAGCCCATGGGCAATGCGAACCTCCTTTGGGGATTGGAGGGCAGGTGGAATCACGTTTCCAACTTGCTTCATTTCCCGGCTTGAATTGTCAGATTCCACTTAATGAAATAGCTGTGTTCCTGAAAAGTTGGCTGTAGAACAAATTCTGCTCAATGCATCATACTTCCTCATTGATCTTCATTTTTAAATTAAGGATGCATTTCCCTGAGGAAATAATTGGCCCCAAGACCAATATAAATTATACTAAACACTCAATAAACCTTTTTAAATTGCACATTTAAAGAAAGTCAGTGCTGTTAGAACATTAATAGTGATGATATGTTTAACGTCAGGAAATACAAATATTATGCTAAGAAGCTAAGAACAATTACCAGAAGTGGTGTTGTGGTGGGAATAGAGCCACGTGAGGATTAGGAGAGCAGCATGGAGTCCCTGGATTTTTTTTTTTAATTAAGTACGTCTGAGCCTATGAATCCATCTATTAATAAGAATTTAACAAACTTCAAATTATGTAAACTATTTCCCTCGGTGTCTTGAGAGCCAGGATGTGCAAGACTCAGTCCTGCTGAGAGAAGGTTTCAATTGCACTGGAAAATAAGACAGTGAATATAGCAAAAACCATCTATGGATTGGACATCAGGAGAGCTGGTGTGATCTGGCACTAAACCAACAGGGGCTCCTCTAAACTGTAGTTGCCCACATGAACCATCCAGGGATTGAATAAAATCACTAATTTCCTAACTTGACTGTATATGAAAATTTCCTGGTAAAATTATTAAAACTCCTCATTCCAGGACATTTTGCAGTTATGGTAGGATCTAGAAATCTATATTTAAATAATTCTTCTAGGTAATCCTATTGAATCAGACTATGCCCTGGCATAACAACAATGTGATTAGATAATCTTTACTGATGTTTTGAGCTCTTTAGTTGAATATTTTTGTGATTCTAAAGACGAGATGAACTGTAGATGAACTAGATGAACTCTACACTCAGACAGCCATAGGCACTGGGAATTAGAAGAGAGACAAGAGTGTATTAGTTTCCTAGGGTTCACAAGAAAGTAACAAAGAGAAGGTGGCTTACACAATAGAAACATCTAGTCTCCCAGTTGTGAAAGCCAGAAGTCCAAATTCAAGGTGTCAGCTGGCCCATGTTCATAACCAGAGCGCACATGGTGTTTAAAGGAAAACTTTGCTCAAATCATTGACTCTTATAAATTCAGATTTTGGTTTAGTTTGTTTTGTTTTTTCTTGTTGGCTTATTTGTCTTAGGCATCCCCTTTAGGAACCTCATTTCTGGTGGCTCAAAGTTGAATTTGTTATGTATATACTGACTCTCTTTCTCTCTGGTTTTGCCATCTTTGCTTTTAGTAGAGAAACAACGTATGTGAGGAGAAAGGTGAAAACAATGGCAAGGAAAGCTAAAATATATAAAGCATGTTTCTATGTATGAATTACTTTTCACATGCCTCACCCAATTGAGTCAGAGAGTGCATGAAATTGGTGAGTAATGGAGTCATTGTGGTTTTCCTGTAACTCTACACTTGGTTTGGGGAACACAAAATAGTAGTTAAGCCTCATTTTTTTCCGCATGATGACCTAAGTGTAGATTCCTTCCCGTGGTGATACAAATCTGGATCTCCCCCAAATTGTAAACTCTCAAACTTCCTTCACTACGTAATATTGCATGATAGAAATATATAAAATTACACACATCTTCACAGAAAATGTGATGACTTCTTGATTGTGGCTACCCTAATATCTGTGACCTTGCATTTGTGTCTATGACTGTAATCCCCCTACTTGTTTCTCCATTTGTATGTTCTTATAATGAGCTCATGCAACTGAGTCCCTGTATATCTTACTGGGGTCACACAAGAGCATATTTGGATGGTAGAATAAAATTAGATGTTTAGTCTCCAGGTGAAGAGAAGGGCAAGAGACCCAGAAAAACCTATGTAGTTGTGTTTCATTGCTTTGATGGTGCAGTACACAGCCTTCCCAGGGATCTGGGGTCCGACCACTGCTCAGACACGGAGCTCAGTCCAGAAACAGCTGTCCAGAACTAATTTATTTCCTAATGCTACGGCACTGTTAATTTATAAATTACACTGGTAATTCAAGCTATTATTAATTTCAGATGGTGTAGGGCAAGCCTAATTAAAATATGACATCAATTGCCACACATATGTACCAAAGACTACCATTTAAAATTAATGGGAATATTAAGTGTGACACTGGTCTCTGAGATGCTTTGCACAGTAATTATAGCATTCCGGCAGGGAAAGATCTGACTAATGTAGGCTCGGGCCTGGTAGCAAATAAACAACAAGATGAAAGGAATCACCAACTCTTCCTTTAAACCTTTGCTCCTGGTTTTCCTCATCCTTCCTCACATCAAGGCGAGTACATTCCCCCCCTGAAGATGCTTAGGAAACAACAAAAGGCTACCATGACAATTGGAGAAGTTTCTTAACTGGTTTGGGACTGTGAGTTCCCACGGGTCAATGTTGGGTGTCTTCTCCACATCCTGAACTTTTTGACCCTGTTTTCTACTCATTACCATGTTCCTGGATCTTCCTGAAAATTTATGAGTCTTGCTTGTCTCAGTAGCTACAGGCTGTTCTTTTGCTCTTGTGTAGGTAGTGGAGGCAAGAGTTCCCGCACATATGTAGCGTGGGTCCCCTAGGTCATGCGAGTACATGAGGAAATGACAACCTAATTGAGGCTGACACAGCGGGATCATGTCCAAGGAGTGGTGGCCGAGTTGGGCAGGTCGTGGCCCTTTTTCACAAAATGATTATTTTGTTATTGTTGCCATCGTTATCACTACTGTTGTTACCTGGACAATACAGCGACCTTCATGTCATATAACAAATACAACTGTAACTTACATAGCACGTCTATCATTCTTTGTATTATAGCAGTTTCTCGCCATTGTTATTTTCACGCTTGGAGCAGCAGGTGCATGTGGCATTACGTGACAGTGCTGTCCCCTGGAGAAAGGTGCTCCTCTCTTCCCTCCCTGCTCATGTGGAGCCACGCATGTTAATCTAGCTCCACTCATGGAGCCTGCACCTCCGGGCTGATTATAGGAGTGCAAGCGAAAGCAGGTGCACAGCACACAGAAGCTTTCAAAGTGCTTTCATGTTTGTGTGTGTTTCCATTTGTCACTCCCAACAACCCTCTGAGGTGTTGGGATTGTGTGTACATTCTGCCTGGGCAGATGTCTCAGTTGCTAGTGGCAGTCTCAACTCATGCTGCTGCCCCATTGTCACTTTTTTTTAAATATATTTTATTGATTTTTTACAGAGAGGAAGGGAGAGAGATAGAGAGTTAGAAACATCGATGAGAGAGAAACATCGATCAGCTGCCTCCTGCACATCTCCCACTGGGGATGTGCCCGCAACCCCGGTACATGCCTTTGACCGGTATCGAACCCAGGACCCCTCAGTCTGCAGGCAGACGCTCTATCCACTGAGCCAAACCGGTTTCGGCCATTGTCACTTTTTTTTATTGAGTTCAGATAGGAAGAGAGAGAGATAGAAACATCAATGATGAGAGAGAATCATTGATCGGCTGCCTCCTGCACACCCCACACTGGGGATCAAGCCCACAACCCAGGCATAGGCCCTGATGGGAATCGAACCATGACCTCCTGGTTCATTGGTCGAAACTTAACCACTGAGCTATGCCTGCTGGGCTCGATAGTCACTATTAATAGCACCTCCTTATACTCCTCAAGGTATCCCAGTTCTCACGATGCATGTATCATCATGCTGGTCACTTCATTGAGCGGAAGAGGCCAGATACTTCCCTGGGAAGGAAGCAGTTACTTTTGTTCTCCATTGTCTTTCTTTGAGGAGGCGGGAACCCAGGGCAACAAGGGAGAAAAACAAGATATGAACCTCCTAGGCTTGAATGTCATGGCCGCTCTATCATCAGATCCTTGCGGCCAGGCCTCCGGTGGAGAGTCCAGTAGGCAGGGGGTTGGTGTTATTATTCATGACTCTCCCATACAGATCTGATGCTGATGATGATGAAGTGGCAGTGAGATCTGTACCTGTCCCCTTGTCCTTTCCGTTCTGCCATGTTTGTGATTAGAGCGTGGAGTCCCTGGTGTTGGCTTGTCTGCAGGATCTTATACCCAAGAGCTCTGGTAGATTGAAGTTTGGGAAATGGACTTTTGCCTATCAGTTGACTGTCTAGCTGTAAAAATAAATTAACTTTTATTTCATGAGCGTTCCCACTGTCTTTTGTGGTGTGTGTGTGTGTGTGTGTGTGTGTGTGTGTGTGTAAGCTACTGTGGTATTTTTAACTGATACTGGTATGTGGTCTCGGATGTAGTCATTGGCTCTACTCCAAGGTTCAGTGTGAATGGCACCTGGAGTCAGAAAGAATTGAGATGCACCTCAGGTATCTTTCTCGGACCCAGAGCCAGAGGGCTCGGTAAGGTCAGGGCAGGGTACAGGTCTCTAGGCATTTGTTTAGTCCAGGTAGGAATACGGGCATCTCAGCTAGTCCTTTGGAGAGCTAAGGAGATGGTGGTGGTGGCTGTGGTAGGAGAAGGGAAGTGTAATCCACACAGTGCTGAGGAAGCTGAACTTGGAAGTGGCTGACATAACCAGGCCCTACATTGGTTTCTAAGAGTATGCCTTTGCTGTTTTCTCTCCTGTGCTATCACACCTTCTCCGGCAGCCGTGGGCTTTGTGAGTGAAGACGAATACTTGGAGATCCAGGGCATCACCAGGGAGCAGTCCGGGGACTACGAGTGCAGCGCCTCCAACGACGTGGCCGCACCCGTGGTGCGGAGAGTGAAGGTCACCGTGAACTGTAAGTGTTGTCATGGAACCCCTGCCCTGTGTGGATGGGAGAGGGGGGGCTGCTAGCATGGCCATGACAAAGAGACAGATACAGAGCCAACTCTTAGAGAGTGAATGGCATATGTGTGTTTTTAAAATATATTTTTATTGATTTCAGAGAGGAAGGGAGAGAGAAATAAAAATATCAATGATGAGAGCAAATCATTGATCAGCTGCCTCCTGCATGCTCTATACTTGGGATCGAGCCTGTAACCCAGGCATATGCCCTTGACCAGAATCAAACCTGGGACCCTTCAGTCTGCAGGCCGATACTCCATCCACTGAGCCAAACCGGCGCGGGTGAAATGTCATCTGTCTTCAGGGTTGTGTCCATCAAATAAAAGCCAGCTAGTTGCTTGAGAGAGACTCTGCTTTTCCTGGTCCTGAAACCAAGGGGAAGTTTATCTTTAGGGTCTCCACAAATAGAGCACCTTGAAATGTAGTCAACCACTTGCAAACAGTGTTTCTGTATTAAATAGAATGGTGTGTATTTTACGCAGGTGAAATGTCATCTGTCTTTAGGGTTGTGTCCATCAAATAAAAGCCAGCTAGTTGCTTGAGAGAGACTCTGCTTTTCCTGGTCCTGAAACCAAGGGGAAGTTTATCTTTAGGGTCTCCACAAATAGAGCACCTTGAAATGTAGTCAACCACTTGCAAACAGTGTTTCTGTATTAAATAGAATGGTGTGTATTTTACACCTGTGCTTCCCAGTGCACTCTCCTGCAAGCTGTTGGAATTGTCAAGCGTTCTTAGGGAAAACTTCAAATGCAAGTAGGCCAACTATATAGGTCTGGTGGATGCGGGAATCATTTTAGAAGAACCTGGAAGAATGACTGATCCGTATACCCTTCGGGCAATTCTCTATGAATATTATTCTTGCAACTGCGCTTTTGATGGGAATTGAATAGTATGAGGTTATGTAGTCTGGCAAGAACCTGGTTTGCAGAAATTCTATGAGGCTGATTAAAACTGCTGACTGCCAACCTAGGGAATGGAGGGTTGATGGGTTGGCATCATCCTGTGCAAGTTAAAAAGTTTAAACACAAAACGGGCCTGCATGCACACCTGGTCAGTCGCCTCCCTTCAGAAGGGGATAGCAGCATCCCACGCTAGGCAGCCCAAGGTTTTCCTTAGAACTACCATGAGTGATTTTGTTCCCGAAGCACAATTTGTGTAGTGAATCTGTCGGCTCAAGTGAGCGCGGTAGATCAGAGAGTGAAAAATACATTCAGCGAGGGAGGCAGCGGCCTGGCTGGAGAATGCATTTTCAGATGCTACAGGGCGTCTTCTCTCTGCAGACCCACCGTACATCTCCGAAGCGAAGGGGACAGGCGTCCCCGTGGGACAGAAGGGGACCCTGCAGTGTGAAGCCTCGGCAGTTCCCTCCGCAGAATTTCAGTGGTACAAGGACGACAAAAGGTGAGGACCCCCTCCCTGCACCCTTCTCTCCCCCGCACCCAAAGAAGGCATATTCTCCAGGTTCGTGGTTGCGAGGGAAACTGTGAATTTCTCCCTGAACTCCTCCTGCCTAGAAGGGGAGGCAATATACAATCACATCTCTTCCTGGTATTAATGCATTTCAGCTATGTTTCCAACGTTGCCATGCATTGGACTAACCAGCCTGAAGGAAAACATTTTGTAAGGAAGCAATACCTTACAGGAAGGGCTGCCAGGAGCATGGGAAGGCCTATGGATTTCTCATAGGCCAAGAAAATAGTATAGTCCGCCTGAAGCTCTTTCTAACACATTCCCGGGCTTGCATGAGGTGTTAGGAACGCTCTCGGGACCCTAGGGGTGGCTAAGAAGTTAGCTGGAGCTAGAGGTCTCAGTTCTGTTTCAGACGCTGTCAGGATTGGTTTACAGGAGTCCATGACCCTAGTTAGCCCTCCTTTGTACCCAGGCTGTTGGCTCACTGTAGGAAAGAGAGAGGGCATGGTTCCCTCCCCTCGCATTGCTGCAGCCACCACTGGGACATTTGTTGTGATTCGCTGGAGATGGTCGTGGTGAGGAGCTAGGAAATGGCCCATTAGCCCAGGGTCAGCGGCTCAGTCCACCGGGCAGCACAATCACTGCTGTGAAAATCTCCATTTTAAGATGGGAAACAACCAATAACATGCAAGAACACTTTTCTAGAAATGGGGAGGGCATGATGCAAAAGAGTCCTGAGGTGTATGTGGGGCAGAGAAGGAAGAAGGCATTTCAGAGGCCGAGAAGCTAAGAAAGAAAACACCCAAGAGGGTGATGGGGAGGAGGAGAGCGGTGTGAGCCACTCCAGGCCAGGAGGGATCCAGCTGTTGCCCACGTGACATAGAACATCTTCATGGGCTTGTGTGTCTTTCTTTTGGGGGTCAGCCACCAGTCACACACCAAAAGCTCTTCAGGTCTCTAAATCGACCCCTGGTTTTTGTTTAGGACCAAGTCACTTAGTCATAAGATTCATTGTCTGATCATAATCCTTTCAAAGACATACAGTGTGTTTCCATTTTAAGTACAAAAGACTTCAGTTACAAAGTCTTTGTACTGTATTCATCTAGCCCATTTTCTAGATGGAAGAACAGAGGCAGAAAGAGAAACAATCTCACAAAGAGATAAGAAGAAATAGCTGGCTCTCCCTCTTTTCCCAAGAATTCAGCGCTGACATCTAACTCACAGCCTGGGTATGAGGTGAAGCCTTCTTTGTCCCCAGCCCAGGAATGGCATCCAACTGGCAAAGGCGGTCCGTAAGCTAGAGCAGCTCTCAGAAGCCTCCTGATGGGTGGGCCTCAGCCCCTTCTTTGCACAGCACCGGTTCTCAACCTGTGGGTCGCGACCCCTTTGGGAGTTGAACGACCCTTTGACAGGGGTTGCCTAAGACCATTGGAAAACACATATATAATTACATATTGTTTTGTGATGAATCACTATGCTTTAATTATGTTCAATTTGTAACAATGAAATTGGGGGTCACCACAACATTAGGAACTGTATTAAAGGGTCACAGCATTAGGAAGGTTGAGAACCACTGCCCTAGAGGATCAATATTGACATAGCAAGCTGGAACTGGAACTGGTGTCTGGCTGCACAGCCGGACTCCTCATCCCATGGGGACAGTGCTCACATTTTAATGAAGTTCATGGGCTCAGGCCAGTTCACTGCCCCTAGAAAGAAAGTACCCCTGGGTAGAATCGACATCATGAAGAGCAAGGCGAGTCCCTCCAGCTAACCCCCGACTCCCCAGGGGACAGATGCTGGGTGGGAACTGAAGCCAGACCCGGCTTCTCTGTGGTCACTGGTGCTGTGGGTCTGGCAGAGGAGAGAGGCATCCTGGGGTCCTAGGGAGATAACACCTTCAGATAATGACAGAGCCGCTGCCCTCTGTGCCAGCCCTGCTGTGACCAGGGACAGGCGGGAGCTCTCTGTGCCCAACTCCATAGAAATAGATCAGATTGAATAACATTTTCCAGTTTACAACGCGCTTTCTCATCATTGGCTTGCTGCGCTCCACTTTCTATTTCCGCCAGAATATTGTCTTTCTCAGCGTGATGACTCTGCTGCCAGCCATTTGCCCTAATTCATGTCCCCAGAGCCTGTTCCCAGATGTGTTCATCTTGACATTGTTTACTCTGCCCACATCCTGCCCCAGCCAGACTCTCAACAGGCGCTGAAGTGTGCGACCAGGTTCCCCGAGATCCTCCACGCAGAAGGATTTGTTCCCCCCACGAGTATTCATTTTCCCCAAAACACAGACTCAGCTTTTGGGCTGGGGAGACAGGTCATTTCAGGGAAAGGGACATGTTAGCTTAATGCCCATTCTCTGAAAAAGAACATTCCAGAATTTTTCAAAAGAAGAGGGTTGGTCTTGTGATTTCTGTGTAGACATGCCATCTTAATAGGAATTGCTGCTACAGTGAAAGATAGGGCCTCACCCTCTTCCTCTACCCAGTAATAGAATCCATGGCTCTCACAAGTGTGTCTAATGGCTTTCCTCACTAGCTACTTGTGGCACTTCTGTCCTGGCCCCCACCACCAGCATGAGCCCTGCGGCATATGGGACTGCCAGGGCGGGTTGTCCCAGAGACTGTCCCGACTCCTAGGGGTCATATCGTGGAGCGTCTCTAATCCCTCCCAGACCAATTGCTAGGATACTCTGCACATCACCTCTCTCAGGCCTCCACAGCCCACAGACTCAGAATGATCCCTGGTTCTTGTTTCCCATTCCCAGCCCACAGTCAGGTATTATGTGTAGAATGCCTCAGACTCTCAGCGGAAGAATTTATTGCCCAGGTGCTTGAAGAGCATTGTGGGTGTTTTGTTTGTTTGTATTCTTCAAACCACTCAGGTTGTCCTTCTCTTTGAAGTTGGAGTTGTTCATTTTCATGGTTGTCATCATCATCATCACCATCACTATTCCCATTATCATCATCATCGATGTCAATTAAGTCCACACTTCTGAGCACGCGCTCCGTGAATGTCACGCAGTTGGGACAGTGTGTATTTTGGAGGCACCTGCCTTCAGAGGTGTGCCACATGGGTCTCCAGGCACCTACAGAAAATAGAGAAATAAATCACAGTCATTGTGCATGAACTTGCTGTGTCGTTGAGTGAGGAAGGTGGGCATAATGTCAGAAGGAGGGATGAGATGATCACTAATTCCAGACTCCACTTCCTGTGAGAAAAGTATAACCGTCTCTTTCCTCTTGTTTGTCTCTCTCCTCCGTCGCAGGCTGGCTGAAGGAAAGAAAGGGGTGAAAGTGGAAAACAGACCCTTCCTCTCGAAGCTCATCTTCTTCAATGTCTCAGAACACGACTATGGGAACTACACGTGCGTCGCCTCCAACAGGCTCGGCCACACCAATGCCAGCATCACACTCTTTGGTAAGATGAGCCCTGAGCTGGGCAGAAAGGAGGGGGTCCTGCAGAGCAGGAGGAGTTGGGAAGAGAGGC